TTTCGCCGTGTTTTTTTTTTCTCGAGTCGTCTACTGACTGCAATAACACATTCATGCACCAAACTGGTTGTTCTGCCTCGTTTCGAACTCGCAGAGCACGCAAGACAGGTCACGGAGGGAAAAACCCATCCCTACCCTTGGTGTCGAAAACCCGGGGATACGTCATTTTCATCCCCGGGTGTCGTTCATTTTTTTTTTTTCGTATTTTTTCTTCATTCCTACTGTATTTTACGCGTGCCCACTAAATCTTGGGTCTTGAAACGCTTTGAAACGTACGAAATCAACCAATGATTAAAGTGGCCTTTAATACCCCCAGGGGTAATTTTCTCTCAAAATGGCGCTTGCAGCTCAGGTCTACGGCCCCAGCCTTACCTCGTCACTGTTGACGATTTTTTTTTTTTTAGATAGGCGGGGGGTGATCTTACCTATCGCTCGATACCACAATATCATCGAAATTCGTTTTCCTGCTCAAGAACGAGCTCTTTGCACAGGGGGTAGCTTAAGTGGCCTTTAATACCCGCCGCTAATCTAGAAGGTGTTCTCGTTTTTTGTAAGAGCTATGGTGTGGTGGGATTGTCCGATCCGAGTGTGCAACTTGCCAGACTGTTCTGAACAACGTAAAGGCTCCGGGTGACGGCGTTGAATGTGCGGATGGCTTGTACTCTGTGTGTCCTGTCGGAACCGATCGCTGCCGCCCTTTTCAGTCGTTCTCTCTGGGCAGGGGCGACGCGATCGGTACCATCTAATCGTGGAAAATCGGGAACGACAGGTATTGTGGGGCAGAAAACGATTAAAAGTCATCAAGACAAGGCCAGTGTATAACGAGGTTCCAAGATCAAAGTGAAAGGCAAATTCGAGCTCTTGCTGGTCCAAGAAAACGTCGACAACGTTGTCTGTGGAATCAATCCTGGCCCTGCTCAACATAGCATGCCAAAAAACATGACACCCCTTCCCCTTTGGCGGAGCTGGGGTTTGGTTTTCACCGTCAGGCAATCAAAACCCGAATTGATTCGTTTTTTTGCCGCTGGGCTGACTGAAGCGTCGACTTTGTATCCTCGATTCGTCGTTTTTTCGATGTCAACTTGTCGGAACACCACACCGCCAGCTAATACACGACGTTAAAACAAAATAGGGCAGGTTACGTCCCGAGGCATGTACTGAATGAACATCACAACGAAGATACCTTTGCTAACGCCTTGCAGGACGGCAGACACGGAACGATGGATTGCTACACCTCCCGCCTAGAGGCGTTGATCCGGCGTAAGTCAGTCCCGACCGACAGACCCACGGTTTCAACAACGGCCACTCACCACTCACTGTGTGATTGTTTTGGCGACGTTCTCTACGTCACCCACTTCTTGCAGTCTCCAACCCAGCTGCCTTGCATGCCATAAACAGTCACTTACGAACCTGAGGAGTGAGTCAACAACTTCACTCTCACACAACGAGAATTTAACAACTTTGGCCATAAGAACACATGCTCAACCAAAAACAGCCTTACATTTCAACAAAAGAAAACGTGGATAGTCGCCGTTGGTCGCTCACAGACTAAGAAACGAGCACCGGGGAAAATAGGAGCTTCTTCATAGGCGGCACGTTCTGCGCTGGGGATATCCGACCCGGGACTAACGCAAATAATTTCTTCTGCGCAACCTTTACTTTGTGTACGCGAGAGGTGCTGAATGCCTAGTTGCCCTTCCCTCGAGTGTACTCACGAGCAACCGCTCCAAGCCATGGACTCCGTAGGTAATTTATGGCATGCCAGAAAATCATTCCCCAGAAGGACTCGGATACCCGACCCACGAGGCTACGGCAGGCGGCTTAAGTCTAGCGCACAGATGTGCCTCAGAGGGAACAACACTCTCTCTCTCTCCCTCTCTCTCTCGCTCGCTCGCTCGCTCACTTCTCTCGTTTCGTAAGCCTGCCTAGCCGGCGCTCTCCGTCACTGATGACGGCGAGCGCATCTGAATGTCTGCCTACCGGCTTACGTACGCTTCACGCCCCGCCGGTGCAGCGAGGACGCGGGACATTCCGAGCCGAAGCTCTCACCAGCAACAGCGTCGAGCAACACAAACAGGCGAACGCAAAAAAAAAAGGCCAAGGAAACGATTGGCCAACAGTAGCAAAAAACGATGACAGAGTAGTCAATCGTGCTCGCATTTGCACCTGATTGGTGGCGGAGCTAACCGTTCCAGTCTTGTCTCCAAGCCCGAGCACACCGGGGGCGTACTCTTATGTTTTGCATGCCTTAGCGGTTAGACCATGGACCACGCGTCCTCGAGCACAGCGGTGGGAACGGTCATCTTCGAAGCCTTATGACCGGCTGCGCGCGCGTGACCTTCTGCCGGCAAATGATGCAGGGCTTCCCCACGAAGCCCGAGCCGCACCGCACGCACGTGCACTGGTGGGCGCAAGGCAGGAACAGGATCTGCTCTCGCGTCGATGGGAATTGGATTTCACCAGGTTCCACGAAAACACCCAAACACCAGCGTAGCGGCACCGTGCGATGAGGGGGTATGCGTGGGGGGGGGTCTTCAGAACCACACAAGCCCGAGGTGAACATGTCAAAAACGTGGACTCTCTGATGGGTATTCGTAACAGTCGGATACAATGGAATACGGGGACTGTTCCTGACAGCACGCGCACGATTGGGCAAGGCGTATCTCCGGGAGGAATAGCAGACCACAGAGCGGCCATGGGGATGGTTTTTCTTGCCATGGGGGACATATGTTGGCACGGCGGCGAAGCCGGAGCATTGCTGAAGTACCTCGTGGGCGCTACATTACTACTCCGGCATAAATCAGAAACGCCCACGCGTAACGCGCGCGCGCCAACAAGAAAGCCGAGGCGACGACGCACCAAGCTCCGGACGCAACGCCACAACCGCCACCACCAACGCCTCCACGTACTAGCTGCCCGCAATGGTGGCAAGATAAAGCTACAAGGAGAGCCAAAGTCGGGCACTTCCACCCGGCCATGACCCTTCCTCTAACTTACGAGGCTTGGACAACTTCTCTCGTCGTAGCCGCCTAACCGGGCAAGCGCTGTTACCGGTAGTGACTACAACGGACACGCAAGAACACCACCTACGACGAGAGGTAAGAGGCCTGAGGCAGCTAAAGAGCAACAGCAACGACGACGAGACCGTCTCCCGGGATGAAAGCCTCGACGGCACACAACAGAGCATGCCTTGCGTCGCACGTCCGCACTCACCCCCACGAGGGCGTCCATGCAGATCTTGCACGTGTCCGGGTGATCCGGGTCCAATCCGTCCGAGTCATCATCCTCATCAACATCGTCATCCTCCACCTCGAACGGCGTCGCCACGCCGCCGCTAGTACCCCTGACGACCGTCACAACCCTCTGTGCCAAGTTCTCGCGTCTGCCTCCCGCGCCCGAACCACCGCCGCCACCGCCGCCGCCGCCGCCCTCCCCGGCATGCTTCAACGCGCTCAGGATGCGACTCTGCTCCGCCTGTCCGGGTTCGAGGTGATATGCCGGGACAGAGGAACAAAGCTGTGGGGGGGGGGG